ATTTACCAAGACCTGTAAGGGGCTGAGGTATCAGGAGGAAACCCGCCGGAATGTGCTTTGTCTAAATAGACTTCTGTTCCCAATGGGAACAGTGGGCCTTATTCTGGCCCTCCACTTCGAAGCGGGCAGGGTGGCACCGTGGTCGGGGGTTAGTGGCTCTGGGTTCCGGTCCCGGCTCTGCTAGAGCTTGCCTGGTGGACTTATCCTCACCATTTTGCCACTTGGAGCTTCAGGCCTCTCATCTGCAGAATACGGCATGGACATATCACGTCCTGAGGCCCCCCAGCATTAACGAAACTCTTCTTCCATTGGAGAATTGACATCATGAATTCTTCCTTCTCAGGTCAGTGGAGCCAGGCGCTTGATTTCCCAGGCAGCTTCGATCAGGCAGGGGCATGGGTCTTGGGCTCTTCCAATCAGATGCGCCAGCACTAGACTTCACGCTGCGGAGAGCAGTGTGAGGGAGTGCAGAGTGTGGCACCCATTTTCCTAGGAGACACTAGTGGAGAGGGGGGGTCACAAGACAGAGTCCCCTGACAGTGTCCAGGGCCTGAGCTGCTGTGATCTGACACAGTGTGGCTTGGGTGGTTCTGGGCTTCCTCGTTTCCAGGCCATGTGCTACCCCTAGTCCATTTGGTGACTTTGTGCAAATTAGACAATTAGGCACCCCTTCAAGATGCTCTACTGCCCTCTGCTGGAAAATTGTTTGTATACAAATGTACCAATATGTCTAGGGCTGGAATGGCAGCCTCTAAATGTAATGGTGTTGTGCAGTATGCAACCTGGACAACTGATCTTCGTGGCTCTGCCGGCCTGACTTTCTTCTGGCTCTTGTGAAAATTCTGAAAGAGACTTAATTTCCTGTAGTAAATGCCTTTTCTACTTAAGCTAGCTGAAGTGGCTTCCGGTGTTTGACGAAGAACTCTGACTGATATGAATAGGGATGCTGATACATGCCTCCTGGGGTTGAAAGCAGATGACTTGTGGAAGCAAGAGTCTCCGAGAAGGCATAAGGCACCTGCGTGACTCAGTGAGTTTGTACTTCATTTATTGTGAGAGGAACATGGGAAAATGATCTAATTCACTCTACCTTCCTTCCTTATTCTGGAAACCTATTTGTTTATTCTTTTATTTTTGTTGTCAGGGTCAGAGTTCATGGTTAAAGAGGGGAGCCGCAAGGATGAAAATGTGAGTGTGCGTTATACATATTCCAGCAGGGTGACTTGTAGGGAAAATGGCTTTGCTGGGTCTTGCTCATGCACTGTTGTGTCTCCTATTGTTACAAGGAGAGATGACATCAGCCTATGCACCATTTGTCCAGTGGCTGAGTGTGTGTGTGTGTATGTGAGTGTGTGTGAGAGTGTGTGTGAGAGTGTGTGTGTGTGTATGAGTGTGTGTGTGTGAGTGTGTATGTGTCTGGCTGCAGATAATGTGATCAGGTTCCAGGTTTTCCAGGGCAAATTTGAGATGTTTTGTTTTTATATATCAGGCCCTTTCTGGACCCATATGTTTTGGTTTAGGCCACGTGGGCACTGCCACTCAAGGTCATAGCAGCCTCTGTCCAGGGTGTGCCAAGAAGAGAAAAGGAGTAGGATCTCCCCAGGGAATCCTCCTTCCATCAATTTATGGAAATGCCTGTCTGTCTCAGTCCTCGGCCTTCAAACCTGAAAGGAGCGAAAGGTGAGTTGCTTGCTTCCTGCATTCCCCATCCCTTTCTGAACCAGGAAGTGGGATAAGGGAGGGATGGGCGGGAGCTGCGAGGCCGGTAACTGTTTAAGGGTGCAATTTCAAGGCTCCTCTGCCCAGAGAAACCAGGCTTGTTTGCTGCTGGCAATGTGACAGTGCTTTGCTAAGGGGCCTTTCTTTCCACCTTGAATGAGGAGCAGGGGCGGCAAAGGCCAGGAGAGGGAGCCATTGAGTCACGTTCACATTTAGTGACTCCTTTCAGGTCAGGTTTGGACAGAGGGGAGGACAGACGGAAAGGGTGTCTACATCCGGAGGGGTAGTTGTGTTAGGAAGAGGAACTTAGGAGCAGAGAAAAGGAAGACACGGGGGAATTGGGGAAGGGGGTTCCCTGGATACAAATCTCCTCATTCTGGAATTTGTCCCAGGATGTCCCAGGTCCCTGGAGGTCCCTTGGCATGAGTGTTGCCCGGCACTTCCCTCCCGTAGGGCCCCCACCCCCACCGGCTCGTGCTTCCAGCTGGGGGACTAATCCTGATGCCCTAATGAAGTCCCAACTTCGCCCACTCTCAGAGGGGAAAGGCCACGTACAGGGCACCCGGCTGTGCCCTGTTCTGGAAGCGCCCCTTACATGCTGGTTGCCCGTTCTGCAGTGAGCTCAGAGGTCCCTCAGGGAGGAAGAGCTGTCCAGACCCCAGGAAAGGAGGAGTGGGGTCTGTAAAGGGCTCTGTCTTTCAGGAAGGGGCAGACCCTGGGTCAGATAAAGGCCTGAGACGAGGGTCTTACTTCCCGTTGGGTCATTACTATTCTCTTGTCACATGTTTGGGGACTCTAAGTAAGAACCATGGCTCTTCTATGAAGTCCCCTTCTCTGATCCCAGCTTGCTGCAGGTGACTGGTCTGGGGAGAAGGGGGCCGGCAGCCCTGGGCCACCAAGCTGAGTTTTGTGAACCTGCCCAGTGCTTCTTTTTCACTCGCCACCCACTCCCTGTGGCATGGTTCTTCTTCCACGGTTGTATGGCGGATATGTATTCACCTTTTCACAAATTAGATGGAGGGAACCGTGGAGACTCTCCTCTCCAGTATCCTTTTTTTAAATTTTTTGATACAGGGTATATCGCTCTGTCACCCCAACTAGAGTACAGTGGTGTGATCACAGCCCACTGTAACCTCAAACTCCCAGCCTCAAGCAATCCAATCCTTCCCCCTCAACCTCCCAAAGTGCTGGGATTACAGGGCTGAGCCACTGCGCCCGGTCTCCAGCATTCTTAAGAGGCAGTGCTGAACTCTTGTGCTGACTGAGAGCTCACTCCTTCACGAGGGACCTTGTTCCTCTTTAGGACAACTCCAGATGTTAGGGAGTTCTCTCCTTTTTTTTTTTTTTTTTTTTTTTTGAGACGGAGTCTCGCTGTGTCTCCCAGGCTGGAGTGCAGTGGCGTGATCTCGGCTCACTGCAAGCCCCGCCTCCCGGGTTCACGCCATTCTCCCGCCTCAGCCTCCCAAGTAGCTGA